TTTATAGTTAAAGCTTAAGGACTAATCTTATAAATACCCTAAAGTTTATGGACTAAATGTGCAATTATCCCCTTGCCATTTTTTCAACAAAAAAACTAATTTTTGGTGCATTAAATTTTGCGCTTTCGGTGGTGCAAAGTCCAACTTTCAAGAATCTCCCACTTGAAGATTTGATTGGAACAATCATATCTTCACACCATTCTTTCTACCTTGTACCTTCATGTTGCTTATGTCTCTGACAGGCCATAAGAGGATCGACACCAGGTAAATTTATCAACATCGATTGCCTTCGTCATGAAATCTTCTAAATTGTCTTTGGTATGGATTTTCTGTATATCTATTGTCTCTTCTTCCACCTTTTTCACGAATGAAATGGTACTGAACTCGTATGTGTTTTGTCTTTGAATGGAATGTTGGATTCCTTGTTAGATGCAAGGTGCTTTGACTGTCACAAAACAGATAGACATACTCTTGATTGTGCCTAAGCTCCTCCAATAGCATCTTCAACCAAATTACTTCTTTACTAGCTTGTGTAACTGCTACATATTCTGCCTATGTTGTGGATGTAGCCACAAATGACTGTAACTTTGAAACTCAGCTTATAGCTCCACCAGCAACTTTGAACATATATCCAGTAGTAGATTTGCTTTTATCCAAATCCCCTACATAGTCAGAATCGACATACCCATTGATTAGTAAGTTTGATCCTCTATAACCTAATATAATATTTGAGGTCCCTTTGATGTATGTAAGGATCCTCTTTACTGTATTCAATGCTCTTTGCCTGGATTCGCCATGTACCAACTAACCACTCTCACTGCTTGTGCAATGTGTGGTCTTGTGCATATCATAGTGAACATTAAACTTCCTACTGCCAATGCATACGGCACTCGATACATCTCCATCCTCTTTTCTTCACTACTAGGACTCATATTGGAGGATAATTTAAAGTTAATAGGAAGAGAGGTAGAAATTGACTTACAATCTTGCATGTTGAATCGTGACAAGATCTTCTTCAAGTAATTCTTTTGTGAAAGCCAAATCTTCCTATTACTTCTACCTCGGTGAATTTGCATCCTTAGAATCTTGTTTGCTGATTTCAAGTTTTTCATTTCAAATTTACTAGCCAGTTGTGACTTCAATTCTTCAATATGATCTTTTTTGGGTCCTGCAGCCAACATGTCATCCACATACAACAGTAATATAACAAAATCGTTATCACCAAACCTCTTGAAATAAGCACAAGGGTCTGCATTAAGTATGTTGTATCTGAGGCACATAATGAAGGAATCAAATATCTTATATTAACACCTCGACGCCTTCTTTAGACCGTACAGAGATTTGTTCAACCTGTAAACCAAGTTCTTATTTTCTTCTTCTTCAAAACCTTCAGGCTGAAGCATATAAATCTCTTATTCATGATTTCCATGAAGAAAAGCTGTTTTAACATCTAGCTGCTCTAGATGTAAATTTAATATAGCACATATTGTCAGGACTACTCGAACTATTGTTAGTCAAACCACGGGAGAAAAGATTTCATTGAAATCAATATCTTCTTTTTGAGCATATCATTTGACCATCATTCTTGCACGACACCTCTCAACTTGATCGTTACCATTTCGCTTGATTTTGAATACCTATTTATTACCAATTGGTTTCCTTCCTTGTGGTAGTGGCACAAGGTTCCATATTTATTTTTATGAAGGGATTCAATTTCTTCTTGCATCTCCATCATCCACAGTGAAGCATCTGAGCTGTTTATTGCCTTCTGGTATGTTGATGGCCATTGTCCTCTGTTAAAAGGCAGTATGCAATATTTTCTTCTATAACATAATCTGAGTGCCAATTGGGACGTCTTCTCATACGATCTGATTGACGAGTTGTTGGAGCTTCAGAACTCTCTAGTTATTGTTTATCATGGGATGGTTCTGCTTCAGAAGAATCTCCTTATTCAAACTCTTTTTCTACATATATATGTGTAGTCTCTGACTTTTTAGTGCCATCATCGTCTTCTTTTCTTTGTAGTTTATCTTCTACAAAGATAACATCCCTGCTGATGATCACTTTGTGGGCAGTGGGATCCCACAAGCGATACCCCTTTACACCATCAGTATACCCCAAGAATTTGCATTTCCTGGATTTTGGATCCAACTTTGAAATTTCTTGGGAGTTGTACATTATGTACACTATACTTCCAAATACATGGAGGTTTGAATAATCAGCTGGTTTACCAGTCCACATCTCTATTGGTGTCTTCAGCTCTATTACAGTTAATGGAGCTCGATTCACCAAATAACAGGCAGTATTGACTGCTTCTGCCTAAAATGAATTTTCTAGGCCTGCAGCTCTCAACATTGCTCTTGTTCTTTCTAACAAGGTTATGTTCATCCGCTCTGCCACTCCATTTTATTGAGGAGTGTTCGCCACTGTGAACTATCTTTTGATGCATTATTTCCTGCAAAAGTCATCAAATTATTCACTTGTGTATTTTCCTCCATTATTTGTTCTGAAACACTTGATCTTATTTCCAGAATCAAGTTCTACCCACGCTTTGAAGTTTTTGAAAGTTGAAAACACATCTGACTTCTTCTTAATAGGTTACACCCAACATTTCCTAGAGTAGTCATCAATAAATGAGACAAAGTATTTTGTCTCCGCCTAGGGATGTAACTGGTGCTTGCCATACGTCAGAATGAACCAATTCTAAGACATTTTTGCCTCTAGAATTTGACGTGTTGAATTTCAACTGGTGCTGCTTACTTGTTATGCAATGTTCACACAAAGTAAGTGATATATTTGTTAAGCCTGGAAGTAGGTTTTACTCTACAAGGACTTTCATTCCTTGTTCTGACATGTGTCCAAGTTTCTGATGCCATAGCATTGCAGAATCTGAACTACATGAGGCAACAGAGACTTCTACTTCTAGCAAAGTCTCTCCCTTCAGCATGTACAAGTTTGTTGCTATCTTTTCGCCTTTCATCACCATAAGCGCTCCACGGAACACCTTCATGATTCATTTCCGTGATTCAATCTTGCTTGCATTATTATCCAACAATCCGTAGGATAATAAATTTTTCTTCAGGCCTTTCACGTGTCGTACATCTCGAATAACTTTAATTGTTCCATCATACATCTTCAATTTGATGGTTCACATGCCAATGATCTCTAAGGCATAATCACTGAAACAATACACAGATCTTCCTAAGACAGGTTTATAATGATGGATCCATTCTCTTCTTGAGGTCATGTGATATGTTGCTCCTGAATCAATGAGTCATATATCTGCAAATCTTTTTCTACATTCGACGGTGGTTGACTCTTCACAACATAGAACATCTCCATCATCTGAAGTGTTTGCAATATTGCCTTGTGGATTGGAGTTTTTATTTAGACTTCAACAATCATTCTTCAAGTGACCCTTCTTTCCACAGTTGTGGCACTTTAAATTCTTTTTGCTTCTCGACTTTGATCTACCATGTTTGTGACTGTTGCTTTGGCCACATTTTGTTGAACTCTCTCTCATCATTGTCAACGCTTCTGCTTGTTGCAGATTTACTTGTCTGTCTTCCTTGTTCTTGCGCTGATTTTCTTTTCGTAGAACAGTAGCTGCAACGACATCGAAGACTAGACTGATGACATTACTGTTTGTCAAGTTGATGATGAGTTGATCATACGAATCATGTAGACTTTGAAGTAGAAGTTCAGCACGTTCTTGTTCTCCTATTGTACATCTTAAGGATGTAAGCTGATAAAATAAAGTGTTCAGTGTGTTTAAGTGCTCTGTCACTGAAGTAGATTCTGGCATCCGGAGAGTGTACAATTTCCTCTTAAGGAAAATTTTATTGTGCAACGATGTGGCCTCGTACAGTTTGGTGAGATGATCTCATATCTCCTTAGCTGTATTCTTCTCCTCGATGCTTGATAATACTTTATCTGCTAATGCTAGATGAAAGTTTACCATAACATTCTCGTCCATTTCGATCCATTTTTTGTCAACTGTGAAATCTATCGGTCTTTCACTGATAGCTGCTAGACAACCGTCTTTCCTCAGGATGACATTCATCTTCAATTTCCACAATGAGAAATTTCTCCCATTGAACTTTTCAATATCAAATTTCGTTGTCATAGCTTTTATTACGGATAGCTCCTACAATTTCACTATCGTGAATAGTTATCTGGAACCTTTAAAGAATGGGTAATACATTCTTACTTTCTTATGTTGGAGGATCCACCTTTTGGTGGCAACCACAAAGATAATAAGTAGATATTACACACTCTAATCTAGCTCTTGATACCAATTGTTGCGGAATACGACTATCGGATAGAGCAAAATCGTAACTAATAATTTGAGAAAATAAAAATGAAGATAAAGAAGACACAAATTTTACGTGGAAAAACCCCTAAATAATATAAGGTAAAAACCACATGCAAGATAGAATAATTTCACTATGAGAAAATAGGAATTAAAACTTCGCTCGATCTAACAAGGAGAAAACAATGACAATTCTCTCTTGATAAAAAGGAGAAAACAACTCTCAAGAAACTCTCTAAATTCTCTAGTATTGGGAGAAAAATAGATTGATTTGGGATGATTTTGAAGTTAAATGGATTAGGGTATTTATAGTTGAAGCTTAAGTACTAATCTTGTAAAATCTTAAAGTTTAAGGACTAAATATGCAATTATCCCCTTACAATTTTTAAAAAAAACTAATTTTCAGTGCATTAAATTTTAAACTTTCGACGGTGCAAAGTCCAACTTTCAACAAGATCTACAAGTTAAGAACTCCAAATAACCAAGTTGTTGGAGTTCGTGATAGTAATTTCCCCCACCTGACAAGGTCCAAGGTTGCCCCTAAACCCGACACTTCCCTATTAACTTTACTCTTTATTTTCCTTCTAAAAATTTGTTACTTTTCAAATGTGTGACATCACGTCCTCCTACAACCAGCACCGAATCACTTCATGGATTTGTACATTGAATGTACGCTCCACCATCTGAGCCTGGGTCAAATACTCAATTCAAGCTCTTCTATTGACTGTAGCCACACGGGTAGAGTTTGAGCTCTCACCCTCCAATAGTCTTCACACGTGACTTGTTCAACACCAAACTCAACCACGGATAGGGTGTTCAAAAGTTCGGTTAATCGATAAAACTGGTCGAACTGAATTTTTTTCGGTTAATCAATCGATTAATTTTAAATTTGGTTGGTTAACGATTAATTTTTTTAAGTTCGGTTATTAATTAATTCAGTTCAAAATCGATTAATTAACCGAATTAACCAAATTTTTAAATTTTTTAAATACTTAATATATTATTTATATATTAATAGTTTTAAGAGTATTTAAATTTTAGTTTTAACTGAATTAATCGAATTAACCAAAAATATTAAATATTTAATATATTAAATATTATTTAAAATTTTAGTTAATACGGTTAATTGATCGATTAACTAAACTTTTTCGATTCTCTTAATTACTTTTTAAAAAATTAATTCTATTAATGGTTAATATGAAAAAATTTGATTAATAAAATTTTGAAAATTTGGTTATGTCGTTAATCGAACTGACCGATTGAACACTACTGTTCGCGAAGACCAGCAAAAATAAAAGTTTTAAGACGTCAGAGTTCTGCCACGTCGACAATTTCCATTTACTACCCTTTCAAAACGAATATGATGTCAATGAACGATAGGAACCGTTGGATATAAAAACTGTGACGGCAGGATTTCAGTTCTTAATCTGACGGATATCATTTCCTTTGGCATCACATTCTTGTAGTGTTTGGTAATTGGTAGGCACCTCGAATAAAGTTATTTTAATTAAATTTTAGTACACTTGTGTAGTCACTCATTATCGTCTGGGGTTTTGTTTAGTATATATATAACGTATATAATATATAGTTTTAAAATATTTTTTGAAAACATATATAATATATATTTTCGAAAACATTTTCGAAAACATATATAATATATAGTTTTGAAAACGTATTTAATATATAGTTTTTTAAAAAAACATTTTAGAAAACGTATATAATACATAGTTTTTAAAAAAATACTTTTGGAAAACTTATATAATATATAGTTTTTAAAAAATACTTTAGAAAACGTATAATATATATTTTTTAAAAATGATTTTAAACATATAATATAATTTTTGAAAACATAGTTTTGAAAATATATTATATAGTTTTCATTATTATGGTTACATCATATTTATTTATTTTATTTTTATTTTTTATTCTTATTTTCTTTTCTTATTTTAGGTTCAAATGTTCCAGTGAACGTCCAGGGTCCAACAAAATTAAGGTCATGGTCCAAATCAAGTCCAATGAAGTCAAGATCCAAATAGCAGACCCGCCTGACCACGCAGGTCGTTAAACCAGGCCTAGAAAGAGACCCGAACCACATTACAGTTTCAAACTTAGCACCATCACCACATGACCAAGAGTCGTTGGATCAGATCAATTGATCCAACGACCCACAACAAATCAGAATACCCAACAGTCGCCATTCCACGACGTGGTGGGCACGCACCAACCAGTCACCAATAGTCTGAAGTTCTCGGTTGGAAATCGTAAAGGAATCGGGACTGACCCATCCTGAAATAATCGACAACAACGAGCAGTAATAAATCGTCCGATTAAATCGAAAAAAGGGGACTGATCCATCCCGTCAAGGTCGAAAACATCCCCATCGGGGCTATAAATACCACACTGAACCACCCAAGAAAGACAGCAAAGAAAGCACAACAAGAAAGGCATCACCAGAAACACCAAATACCAAAGTACCATAGCAACCAACAAACATACAATACCATCACATAACAAGAAAACCGAGGCAAATCAAGCAAAGAAATATACAAAAAACAACCAAACAAGAAACCAAAACAAAGAAATTAACAAGAGAGTTTTCCTTCATAGTCGTCAGGAGTGCGTCAAGGAAGAGAAAGGGTCACCGGGAAAGTGAAAAGTAATCGTAAAAGGTAAAACTCGAACCTTTCGATTTAGATCTACTAGGGAGAACGGTTTTAAGGAATTTGGGTTGTTATTTAGGGTTCACCGGGGGCGAGGGAACATTTCGGTGTGGTTTTATTTTTTCCAGCCACCGGGGGCGGTGGTCGGCGAGGCGGAACGACAGCGGTTCTAGTCACCGACGGGTGGCTGATTTTCGGCTGGCTATGGGAAGGGTTGAGAAAATTGTTGAGAGCTTTTTTGGTATGGGGGAAAATGGTTTTTTTCCCTAAGTTTTGGGCTATTTATAGGGGAGGGACGCATTGTAATTTGCAAATAGTTAAATCATTTTCACAGTCCTGTATTTTTTAAGCGTAATTAATTTGGTCACCTATTGTAATTTTACCTCTGAATTTTCAATTAATTCGATTTAGTCTATATTTATAATTTATATTTTTGCAATTTAACCCCTCTAATTCTTTATTTTTCCTTGCAACACATCTTTAGCATTAATTTGGTCCCTCAATTTCAATTTGTTTTAATTCAATCCTTTAAATTTTGTATTAGTTTTTTTTATCATTTTTCTTCTTTTTTTTTAAAAAAAATCTTAACATGTTTTTTACTATTTTTAAACATTTTTTAAAATTTGTAAATTATTTTATTTTACAATCTATTTTTTTTATTTTTAGGGGTGATTTTAATCTATCAAAGGTAAGTAGTTCAAATCGAGTCTTTAAATTTCAATTTAACTTTTAATTTTTGCAATTAAGACAATCGAGAAATTAAATTAGTACCGAAAGGATAGTACAAGGGTGCTAATCATTCATTGACTTTAATCGACTCCCTAATCTGACATATTTCTGGTAAAACACAGATCAAGTAAGATGATAAATTAAGGTGTCCGATCAACCTAATTTTTCTTTTAAAAAAATGATAGGTGGCAGCACTAACATGCTTCATTTATGTCGAAGCCTAATTTTGGGCCCACCCGAAGGATGATTATGGCAGTCTGCTTCCAAAATTATTGTATTCCAATACATAAAATATAATCATTATAAAATTAAGAATAAATTACATATTTATTCACTCATCTATTATTGTAATTTCGTTTTGTTCACCTTCAAAATCATACATAACATTACGTTTTGGTTACTTATCGTTTAAAATAAGAATAACTGTTGATCTGGAATTTTTTTTATTTTTTCAATGATGATGTGGAAGTATTTTATGGTTACACATCAGCATCATTGTTAATTTTTTAATTTTAAGTGACCAGAATGAAATCAAAACCTAATATGATTTTGAAAAACTAATAATTTAGTAACCAAAACAGAATTACAATAATAGATAGGTGACTAATGCACAATATATCATAAAATTAAAGATAAAGGTGGAAGGAACGTAGGCGTTGAATTTGGTGTGTAGGAGTTAAATGATAATATTATGCATGGAGGGCCCACTCCCCCGTTTTTCAAGTTCTTTCATTTTCTATCCAATTCATCTCCACACCTTCTAGAAAATACTTGATTTTTAATTTCTCAAAAATTTTAATTTCTATCAATAGTCTCTCCCCCTCCATAGTCACAGGCGACTAATTTTTTAGGATGAGAGAAACGGGAATAGAAAGGTGAGAATTAGGGATTGGGAAATTAGACAGTAGAGATTCAAGGTTTTAGAAATTTAATAACTTAGAAGATTGGAATATCAATAAAAGGATAAGTGACACTGGAGTTTGACGATGGATAAATAGATAATCGGCGATAATGGTAATAATAGAGTTGGTGGGTGATGAAATTGATATTTTTAGGATTGTTAATTGTAGTTTTTTAGATCTTTAAAAAAGTTGAGCTTTTTAAAATAATAATATTTTTAAATTTTTTAAAATATTTAAAAATAATAATAAACACATCATATGTTATGTTTTGAGTGATTAATAGATATACATTATTCAAAACTAAATGTGATCAATTTAAATATAAATTTTGGTTGGATGTTAACAAAAAAAAATATAGTCTTCTTTCTCTATAACTGTTTATATGATTTTGTTTAATAAGATGATGAATGTATTGTCATTTTATTAGTTTAAATCAAATTATTAAAATATAACATGTGTTCCTCTGTGAGAAGAGAAAATGATGTGTAAAATAAATAAAATATAGAAAAATTATGTCAGAACTAATGTTAATTTTGTAACAGATGAGCAAAACAGAAATGATAACATTTGTGGTCATTTAGCTAATAAGCTAAAAATAGTTTAATGACCAAAGTAAAAAAAAAAAGTAATAATTTGGTGACTAAGGGTATATTTTACTAAGGAATTAAAATAAAGCACGGGAGAGGTTAAAAAATAAAAGGAGGGTTAATGATGGTTAGTAGACGTGATTAGAGGAGTTAGGAGTTGTTTGTTTACTTCAAAATGATTAAGCGTTGAATGATTCAAATATTGAATGATTCAGAGGCTCTGAATGAATTAGCTCTAAATGTGAAATACCGTTTAATAATGACTCTGAATAATTCAGAATGTACTTCTGTACTGAATCATTCATCACTATTTTACTAGATCAATCCACACTTAATTATTTAAATGTGTGAAACAAATAAACTAAATACTAAACGGTTTATAATTCAACACTAAATAATTTTATTGACAAACAAACAACCCTTAATTAAGTAGCTAAAGTAAATATAAAGTGAATGGAGGAGGCGATGAGGAGCCAAGTGAGACTGAGAGTCATTCACACCAAAAATATAGGGAGAGAAAAAAGAAAAAGAAAAAGATGTTCTGTTTGTGGTGAGATCTAAACACTCTGAGTGGTTCTGGTTTTGCTTCTTTGAAAAATCTTCCTCCCTTTCTTCTATCACACCCCGTTTCTCTGAATCCCTTTCTGTTAATCATCTGTCTTTTGAATCAAAATCTGATTTTTGGGTTTGTTTTTCAGTACGTAATACAGGGTAAAAAGCAAACTTAGACAAGGATTTCATTGAAAGCCAGGTATTTTCAGAATCGAGATCCAGATTCTTTTTGTTAACCTTTGTTCTTAAAAAACTGAATTTTAGGAATTTCCCAACTTTTTTTTTCTGTAGATAAATCAACTTAAAGGGTAATATTTGACCCCTCAAAGTTTAGCTTTTTTTAGTTGGATTTCAAAGGGTTTTGTCTGTTTTAAAAAAAGAAAACCCTCTCGAATACTTTCTGGGGTTTAGACCTGTTCTTCAAGTTTGGTAAGAACTGGTTACATTTTTTCTATTTTCTTCTTCGGTGATCTTCCTTGTCCTAGTTCAAAACCATTTTATTTTTTAAGTAACGGTAGCTGCAATGGATTTCATTAGTAGCGGAGCAGTTCAATCACTTCTGTATGGAGGAGAATTAATGGAAGCACTTGAACCTTTTGTGAAAAGTGTTTCTTCTCTTCCTTCTACCTCTTACCATTATTTCTCTTCTTCCCAAATACAGCCCACCTTCTACGCAGATGGCTGTTGTTACCCCACGCCGATGGACTCGTTTTCAGGTCTCCAACACTACCAACAGCCTCAAACTGGGTCAACAATTGGGTTAAATAGCTTGTCACAAGCTCAGATCCATCAGATCCAGGTCCAATTGCACCTCCAGAACAACCAACAAAGCTACCCTCACCAGATCCCCCGACCCAGCAAAAACAGTAACCATATGGTTAGCTTTCTTAGCCCCAAACCTGTTCCAATGAAACATGTTGGTACGCCACCAAAGCCAAAGCTTTACAGAGGTGTTAGGCAACGTCACTGGGGAAAATGGGTTGCTGAGATCCGGTTACCTAGGAACCGGACACGTCTCTGGTTAGGCACTTTTGACACTGCCGAGGAAGCAGCCTTGGCCTATGACAAAGCTGCCTATAAGCTAAGAGGTGACTTTGCCAGACTCAACTTCCCTGACATTCGCCACCATGGTTCCGACGTCGGGGGTGATTTTGGTGAATATAAGCCTTTACCTTCCTCTGTTGATGCTAAGCTGCAAGCCATTTGTGAAAGCTTGGAACAAAATCCAAAGCAAGGAAACAGGAAGAAATCGTTGAAGCCGACGGCTGAGAACGAAAGCAAGAAGAACGAAGTCGACATGGCAGAACCTGAGACCGAGGATAAGACAGTGAAGGTTAAATCCGAGAGTGAGGGTTGGGCAGTGTCTTCGCCTTTATCAGATCTTACATTCTCGGATTTCGACCAACAGCCATGGCCTGAAGTTGTTTGTTCGTCGGAAACCTTCATGTTGTCCAAATACCCTTCGTATGAGATTGATTGGGATTCCATTCTAAAAGCGTAAAACCATGTTCCATTTTCTGTATTAATCTTTTGTTGTTTGGAGTTCATTTTCATTTTCTTGTAAAAGCCAACTGCAATGGAGTTTTTGGAGTTTTGCAGTGGCATGTATTTTTAGGTCGTTTTGTGAGTCTGTCTATGGGTAGGGTTCTTAGTATCCAAGTGTAAACTTTGTAAGAATTTGAGATTTTCTCTCACTGTATAAACCGAATGTTAATTGCTTTTGTATTTGAACCAGTTATTACTACAATCTTACACAATCGAAATTGCGACTTTAACCATAATTCAAATCTCTAATTTTCCTCGTTCACATGAAAAAAAAAACAGTTGAAATGAAGCAGTCTTCGATTACGGAAAGCTGTTCCTTCCGTGATAGAGTGCCGTTAACATTCAAGTCACTAAACTATGGGTTTTGTGAGTTCAACGATATTTCATGTCTGGTAAAGTGTAGCTCACCAGATTTATTACAATGCCTGGGTGTTTTTTTATTAAGTTATTATCCATTTTATATTCGATTTGATTAATCAAATCATTCAAATGTTTCAATTAAATAATCGTTAATTTTTTAAAAAATTGTTGATGTGTCAGTTAATAAAATTAGAATCATTATATATATTTAATCTTTAATATTTAAATTAGGTGACCCTATTCCCATATGTAATGAGGTAAGGGAGAGGTATAGTAGTAGGCTGCCCCCAACGCTAGGTTGAGAGCAACTTCCGTAGAAGGCCTCCGGCAATTATGAATTGCCAACCGTGGGACTCGATCTCACGACCACAAGTTTAAAAGCCTTGCGCTCTACCAACTGAGTTATACTGGCCATTTTTCCTGAAAAATCACCGGTGACCGGTATATTTACTAATCTAACACCGGTCAGACTATATTTCCCGATATAACACTCTTAGCAATAAATTGCGCCCCCTGCGGCGCGCTATATGCTGATTTGGCACCACGTGGGATAAGACGCGCCCCCTGAAGCGCGTCTTATGCTGACATGGATACACGTGTGTAAAGCGCGGCCACTGGGGGCGCGTCTTATGCCACGTAGAGGTATAGCGCGGGGCAGGGGCCGCGCCTTACCTTTAATTCTGATTTATATATAGCGCGGGGCAGGGGCCACGCCATACCTTTAACTAATATAATTATATAAGGCGCGGTGCAGGTACCACGCCTTGTAACTTTTCTCGGCTATAAATACCCTTCTCCCCGATTAAGTTCCTCACATCTCCTCACATCTCTCCTCTCAACTTATAAATTAATACAACGAGTCAATAATTCTGACAATTTTCTCATATTTTATTCAAAAGTTTGTTCGATTTTTCGTTATAAGGTAATTTTGTGATAATTTTTTATTATATTTATTGTTTCTTATGATTATTTGAAAAAATATTATACTAATTGTTGTCAATTAATTTCCGTGTTTGTAAAATTAGAAAACGGGAATATACGTCGAAATAGTTTTGCGGTACATGTAATAATATAAAATTATATTATTTAAATTATTTACGTTTATGTGTAAAAAATTTATTCTGTTATATTTTCGTTCATATATTATTTATCTAATCAGCATTGTTTCAGTTGTTTTTTTTTTTGCAGATATAATATTGCTGCACTTTTAAACTTAAAGAATGGCGCGACTTTCAGCTATTGTTTATTATGATGGTGAAATTCGAGAAGATGAAACCGGCGTTGTTTTCGTATCAAATGAGCATGTTAAAATATCATTGAAGAGAAATATAACTCTTGAGGAGCTGATAACGAAGATTTCGAGGAAGATTCATGTTGGAAGTAGTAGAAAAATGTCTTCGTTGCAGTACAGATTTCCAACATCATTGTTGCCATTAACTTATACAGCGTTCGAACTTTTGAACAATGATGATGTTGAAATGATGGTTGAAGCTCAAAGTAATTATTCAGATGCCGATATTGAGATTTATGCAAATTTTATTCAAGTGCGTACCGTTCGGGGTCAATCATTAAGCTCCCACTATGGGGCTGGCTGAACAAGTTGACAGCCCGACGACAGTAATGTGTAATGATTTTAATGCCATAATGGGGAGACATTCATCTGCAACTCCTTACGATATGTACTGAGGTGGGTCGACGAACAATCCATATGGCAACATCACGTCCAGTTCAAGGGGAAGTCATTCATCTGCAAATCCGTTTGACCTTAATATGGAGATGTCATCGACGCAACCATCTGTGCAGTTCCCATTTGACAAGATGGCTTCAAGCTCTAGGGGGAGGCATTCGTCTGCGAGCTTTTTCGATCTCAATGTCGATATGCCTTCTAGTTCAAGGGGAAGGCGTGCAAGTAGTAGGTTCTTCGACCTAAATGTGGAGCGCATAGAGGAACCATCATCTCCACTAGAAGAACCGCTTCGTGAGCCTGGTACGGATGGTGCTGAGACTGGACTATTCATTCATCCAGAATCACCGCAATTCAACTCCGATGATGATGAAGTTCCAGGAAATGTGGCACAAACTGACCCTCTTGCACACATGTATGAAGTTGATTATAGTGCAATGTACGGGCCAGAATTTGCGGATATACCACATCTCGATGACTATAGATATTACTCATCAATAAATAATGGTGAGTTATCTTTAGGCATGGAGTTTTCAAGCAAAGAAGAAGCGATGATGGCTATAAAAAAATTACAATATCCATAATTATGTTCAGTCCAGAGTCAACCGATCCACGACCGAAAAATATGTATGCTACTGTGCCCGACGTGAAAACGGATGCAATTGGATGGTTCGCGTATCGAAAATGAAGATGAAAAACAACATATGGGAACTAACAATATACAACGGTCCTCACACATGTTGTGCTGGAGGTCAACCAAGATCATCCCAACTTGGACTCTGAAGTGATATGCCAAGCCATCATGCCCATGGTAAAAGCAAGCTCTCATATAGTTGTTGCTGTGTTGATTTTAGCTATACAATTGCAGTATGGGTACACTGTCTCCTATAAAAAAGCTTGGTTGGCAAAACAAAATGCCATTGTCAAACTTCATGGTGAATGAGATGCATCTTACAACGAACTTCTAGGCTAGTTTAGGCTGGTGCGGAGGTTGAATCCTGGGATAATTGTGGACTTCGAAACCTTTATGCATACCATAATGATCGAGTTCTCCGTGATCGATGCCAATTCTACCGGGTTTTTTGGACTTACCCACAGTGCGTTAATGCTGTCAAATACTGCAAGCATGTGGTCCAGATCGACGGGACTTTCTTGTATGGAAAATACAAGCAAGTTTTATTATTGGCAGTTGTCCAAGATGGCAATCGCAACATTCTTCCAGTTGTTTTTTCTCTTGTCGAAGGAGAATATACATATTCTTGGGCTTTTTTCCTCCAAAATTTACGTGCACATGTTATCATGAGGGAAAACATCTGTCATTTCAGATCGTGAAGCTGGGATCAAAGCAGCAATGGAGTCTTTGGGTCCAATGTGGCAACCACCCTTTTTCCAACATAGGTATTGTCTCCGACACATTACTGCGAACTACCATGGAAGGTACAAGAAGAATGATGAGCGCCAATTAATTGTACGCATGGGTAAGTGAAACTAATGTAGTGTGTTTTCTTTTCGATCGTTTTAATTTTGTAAAGAAAGCAAGTTAGTAAGTTATACATTTTTTGATCAGGTTACGAACTACTTACTCAAACGTTTGAATCAATGCTTCAAGAATTGTGAGTGAAGAACGAGGAAGGATACGATTACATCAGCCTCATTGATAAAGAAATGTGTACGAACGCATATGATGATGGATATCGATATGGACACATGACGACCAACTTAGCAGATGCAATCAATTCAACCTTAAAGGGTGCACGTCACTTACCAGTAGCGACTTTGGTAAAGACTACATATTTTCGTTTGGGGGTGCTTTTTGCGAAGCTCGGGGGACAAGCTCAAACTTTGATGCAAGGTGGTCATGTCTATCACACTAGATTAGTTGCAGATCTACAGAAAAAAATTATGCATCAAATGAAATATCTGTAACAAGCTTCTCTAGAAGACATGAAATGTTTCGTGTCACAGAGTTGTCGCGACCTCTTCAAGGGATTGAAGTTGTGTCGTTAAGAGTAAATCTAAGGAAAAAACGTGCGACTGCGGGTTTTTTCAAGCTCTGAAGTATCCATGCTCTCATGTGATAGTAGCTTGCTCGCATACACGTCAAGACTATAACCATTTTGTGTAGCCCGTATACCTACTATCTGAAGTTTTTAAGGTATATGAATTTGAGTTTCCCCCATAGGTAATGACAAAGAACCCGATGAGGTTCAAGATTGGCTTCCGATTATACTAAATCCTAGTTTATTGAGGGAGCGTGGTCGTCCAAAATCCAATCGAATTCATTGCGATATGGATATTCGAGAAAGATCTAGACAAGACAGAAGATGTGAGCATTGTAGAAACTCAGGACACACTAGAAAAACATGTCTACTTCTCTTGCCATCAAGTAACAATTGATGAGGAAATAATGTATTTGTTTATCAAATAATAATTCTTGTACTTCAATTTGTATTTACTTCAAGTTAATGTCATTCGATAATCGCTGATGAAGATTAAAAAATGATACAATAATACGAGATTGAACGTTTGCGTTATATGTGATTATAATAAAAGAGATAATAAGTGACAAAGTTAAAAAGTTATCGAACACAATCATTAAATTTTATCAAACTGATAACAATTTGGTATTTCAAAATAATTTTAAATACAACAAACTTACAATAAGTATTAAATGGTAAATGATAACCAAATTACAATAACTGATATTAAATGATAATAAACAAAATTAACTGAAATACATTAAAAAAAAAGTCCAACAAATTTAACAAAATAAAGTAAGTATTAAATGAGAAATAATAAAAAACTACAATTAAAAAGTCCAATAAACTAAATACAAATATAATAAAAACAAAATCTATCGATGTCTGCGACGCGAATGTGTTCCGTAGGGCGGTGGCTGTCGGTCTCGAGGAGGATTTCTTCATATCACTGGTTGTGACTCCTCGCTGTCATCATCATCACCATCATCATCGTTGTCGACGTCGGCATCGTCGTCGGCGTCGTCGTCCTGAGTAGGTACATGAGAAGCTGATGACGATGAAGCACCTCCATAGAATAAGGACCCTCACCGGCCTGCGAAAACTGGGAAAACTCATAAAAACCCAGACATCGCTGAGTGTGAAAACTGTACAGGAGGTGTATG